CGAAGACCTACCTACACTGCTGGTTAGGTAATAGTAATTTAGGTTGCAGCCTTCCTAATAGGTAAACGAAGAATAGGAGATTACTTAAACTTAAAATATAGATTTACCAGATGATCCAGCAATTCCACTCCTGGGCACATATCTGGAGAAAACTCTAATTCCAAAAATACATGCACCTCAGTGTTCCTAGCAGTACTATTTACAACAGCCAAGACATGGAAGCAACATAGATGTCCATCGACAGATGCCTGGAGATATATATATACACACATATAGATATATATACATATATATATACACACATATATACACATATATACACATATATATATACACATACATATATATATACACATATATACACATATATATATATATACACACACATACACACACACACACACATATATATGTATGTATAAAAATATTATTCAACCATAAAAAAGAATTAAATAATGTCATTTGCAGCAACAAGGATGGACCTAGAAGTTATCATATTGAATGAAGTAAGTCAGACAGAGAGAGAGAAACATCATATGCTATCACTTATATGAGGAATCTAAAAAATGATACAAATAAACTTATTTACAAAACAGAAACAGACTCACAGACATAGAAAACAAATTTCTGGTTACTAAAGGGGAAGGAGAGGGGGATAAATTAGGAGTTTAGGCTTAGCAGATACAAACTACCATACAAAAAACAGAGAAACCACAAGATCCTACCATATAGCACAGGGAACTGTATTCAATATCTTACAATAACCTATAATGAAAAAGAATATGAAAAGGAATAGATATCTATATATTTACAACTGACTCACTATGCTGTACACCAGAAACTAACACAACATAGTAAATCAACTATGCTTCAATTAAAACAGAAAAAAAGAAGTGAGAGGGTATAGCTCAGTGATAGAGCACATGCTTAGCATGCACAAGGTCCTGGGTTCAATCACCAGTACCTCCATTAAAATAAATGAGTAAAAACCTAATTACCTCCCCCCAAAACAGAATAAAAAATAAATTACAAAAAAAAGAAATCTCCAACCGGATGATGGCTTATGACGCGTGTGTGGCCCACAGGCTTATTTCATTGATTTTATAGGTAGGTAGACTAATACATGTATTTATAAAATGGTCTTAACATTTTGGTTGATTTTACCTAAAATCCCAAATTTCTAGCTTCTGCTGGAAAATCAGAAGGAGGACATGATTGGTAGAGCCGAGTGGCGGGTACCCCTACAGACAGGCTTGGAGTCTCTTCTCACCTCTGTCCCCTGGTCCACGTCGCTCACCTTTCTCTGGCTTCGCCTCTTTATGCATGTGAATTCATGACAGCTGTATTTTTTGGTGGGGAGAGTGTTTAATACTAGAGGGAAATACTGACTCTGTCCCCAGGGATGGCCATGGAGTAGTTCTGAGATAATCTTTCAGTTCATCATCTTGTTTTCTCTCCCACGGGTACTATGACTTAAGAATAATGGCAGAATGGATGTGGAGGACAGTATCTGCCACAGTCAGAGGTAGAGACTTGGGGATCATCAGGACATGAGACCGCAGTTGAAGCCGTAGGCATCAGTGAGATTGCCCAGGAGGACTGTGTCGGGGGGAGCAAGAGCTGAAGCAGGCAGATGGCAAAAAAGCAAGAGGAAGGCAGGGAGAGGAAGGGAAATCAGGTGTGTGTGGAGTCACAGAAGCCAAGGGAGGAGGATGCGCCAAGAAGCGAATAAGGATGTCGAATGCTGCCCACCGGAGGCTGAGCGGTGTCCTTTGATTAAAATATGCAGGTCATGATTTTGGTGAAAGCAGTTTCTGTAGGGGGCTGGAAGGGTATAGATGCCTGCAGTGGGTTACAGAGTGAGGGGGAGACAAGAAAATATAGATTTGCTATGACAGACAGCTCTTTCCAGAATTTTGGCTGTGAAGATTTGAACTTGGTTATAGAAGAAATTGTCTGTTGTTTTTGTTTTGTTTTGTTTTTTGTGATGTTGTGAATTGTATAACCTGGCAAGTACATCCCTGCCATGAAACATCTAGAAACACTGCATAAAATCAAGCAAACTTCCTTTAAAAATGTACAGCTGGGGTTCAAGAAACTAAGGGGAAGCCCCAGGAGCCATACACAAAGAGGAAATTGAAAACCAGAGCTGGGGGAGCCGGTGGTAGTTGTAGATCTTGGCAAAGAAGGGGCTGGGGTTTTATAGCCACCTGGAGATTGGAGATGAGGACTTACTTGGGGTGTTGAACACTGAGACCCTGATATACAGCTCAGACCCTTAAAGGGGGACATCCTCAGTGAAAGGGCAGACTTGGAAACAAAAGAGTCCAGAGAGCACAAAAGAACCTTGTGGATTTCACCCCGAGATCTGGTGGCAATAGAAAGTCTCCCGTGAGAATTCATAACCAAAGGTGTACCCTCGTTTAGATTTAGGATTCAGATTTACTCCATCTGCGTAGTCTCAGAAGCCCACATAAAATGCACAAACCATGTGGTCCAGGGTTGGTAATTCCTCTGAAGCATCCTTGGCAGGAGCAAACACAGAAGCTCTCTAGGGAGACACCCTCAAACTGGTCACATGGATCCCGCTGATAAGATCCAAGCTGAGTTCACAGCCCCAACTTAGAAAACATAAGAGGAAGCCATCTGTCGTGAATGAGAGCGGGCAGACACCACCCACCCTAGAACTTGGAATCACGGACAACAGTTATTGAGTAAAAGACCACACAGGAAGTGTGCTTTAAAAGACATACAGGAAAGACTGAACATGAGAAAGTAATAAGATGGTGTTAAAAATGAGGAGAAAAAAAATGAAGAGAGGTCTAAATGAATGCACCTATTAGTCTATCTGCTTATTCATTCATTCCCCTTTCTTTGGACTCCCACTGTGTTTTAGATCCTGTTCTGGGTCTGGGGATAGGAAGCTGGACTCGGCCTCAGGCCGACCACATTCGTTCATGCATGCGGGCACCCATCCATCATTTCATTTCATTTCATTGCATCCTTTGATGTCACAGCTAGGAAAGTCCCAACAGTGCATCTGTTCAACTTTCAACCCCCTTCTTGCAAAGCGAGGCCCAGTAATACAAAAACTACTTTTCTCTGAGTGAGTGGGTGATAGAAACAGATCAGAAACCAAGGACTTATCCCCGGTGTCTCTTCCCCAACGTCCTGCTTCTGCTGAGCCCTTGGCGTGCAGGCATCTAAGCTCTGAACATCATATCTCAGTTTTGTTCCCCTGGTGTACTGTTTACACCTCATGGGCAGGGTCCGCACAACCCAGTCCTGTCAGCTGATAGTGACAATGAGAAGCGACACAGTTACCCAGCTTGTGAGTAACAGAGATGGGACAGCAACCCTATCTCTACCTCTTATCAGTTATGTCTTCCTGTCCTATCCCACCTCCCTCCACCCCCAACCCTGCCACTAGACAGACTGAGAGCTCCCTGAGGACGGGGACCTGGTCTGATCCCTCCACCTTCAGGGCCTGGCTCAGGGAAGATGCTTGGAATACAGGCTGGGTGAGCACACCCGGGGTGGGGGGTGTCCCTCAGCTTGGGGGCTTCTAATTCCCTGGCTGCTCCTCCAACTTCTGGCATCCAAGAGATGGGAAGGGAGATCCAGGCCCAAGTGCTCCCCGGCCCTCCTGAGAAGGAAGAGCTGAGTGTTGGCCTCTGCCTGGCAGCATTTCTAGGGTGTGGATGAACTTGGGGGGGTTCCTGGCTGGCATTAAGTAACACAGGATGGCTACTCCCCGCGCGGGGCTCTCATCCACCCCAGCACTTCTGGGGGAAGGTCTCAGGGTGGTGCTAACACTTTCCTGACACCTGTGGCTCTATCTCTGCCCTTTTAACAAAGAGCAGATCTTTGAGTCAATGCCTCTAACAGGGAACAATGTCTACTTAGAACTTGATATCTTTGCTTATATTGTCTTTATTTGCCTGTTTAACCTTCTATTTCCGGCAAATGATACTTGGTTTTCCATTTACAGAAGTGATACAAAACAGATTCCTTGTAAAATAAATTTATTAAGCAAATAGTAAAACAATTTAAAGAAAACTATGAAGTACAGGTGGTAAACTGATATGACAAAAATCCTAGCATTCAGGACTGAAGTTTGGGAAGTCAGACCCTGGGGAATGGAAACTCCTTCACCTCTCCCAGCCCCTGGCTCTGCTCCCAAAGGGGAGATCGGCTGATACTG